CTTTTTATTCCACTATATTCATCTAAAATGTGTAGTTACTGGTGACAATGCAGATGGTCTTTTTAAAAACATATGAACAGCTTCTAAAATGTAGAATAAATTACTTATAGATAGTTTTCTCAGTCAGCTACAACATAAAATAGCTCCTCAGTTGTTAATGCATCAGTAGTTTAATAACATAATACATTTAACATGACTCTCTGAAAGGTATTATTCTACATAATGAGTACTTTTGTTACTTATTTTGCTTATAATACTCCTGTACTTCTAAGAAATAAAAACTAAATTTGACTACAATACCTTTGACCCAAAAGTAATTTTTACACTTGTAAAAACTCATTTTAGCTCCAAATATTTGAAATACTTCCTTCACCTTATTAAACAGTCCTAATACTGTAATCAATGGATGTTAGTTAATAGCGGAGAACAATGTCTAACCTACAAATATAGATTCTTTTTATGGTTCATCTGGTCTGATTGAAACCGTAAAAAAATATTCTTTTCTCAAATATGCTTGTGGCCTTGAAAAGGTGACAATTTAAAAAAAAAAAAAAAAAAAAAAAAAAAAAGCTGTTGAGTTGGCTCCCAAGTACTGGAAAATACTTAATATTTCATACTTAAATCAAAAGAGGTGGACTAGGAGTTTTTGGATCCAAATGTTTAACTAACCAAGTTTGGTCTCATAAAAGATGTATTTACTGGCATTTATCCCGTTGTGTTTGACTGATCAGGGAATGACCGCTCCAGTTCTGATGATGACGTACCTCTCTCAGAGCTCCTGACAAGGCCACGCAGCGAGGAAAAACAGTCACCTGATAACAAGCAAAGCTTCCCCTCTGGCACTAAATCAAAAAAGGACAGAAGTGGTGAGGACAGACTGACAACAGTATTGCCAGTTCAAGAAAATATTGTGATCTTTGAAAGCAAAAGGTACTAAATTGTCTATGTTTCTATATCTTCTCCTGTTGTAGCCTCGGATGACTCCTCAGACGACGAGCCTTTGATAAAGATGAAAACAATCTCTGCGTCAGCTAAGAAACCAGTGAAGAAAGACAACACGTCAACCAGATCTAATGGCACAAATAGTAAGAAAGCAGGTGGTTACAGCGCCATCCATAGTATATTTCAACTGTATTTGTGTCTGGAATTGATGGCTTTAAAATGTTTCTATATGTAAATTTTTCACCTTTGAATACAGACGACAGCTCTGACAATGAGCCTCTCATAAAGATTGCCAAAACTGCGAAGAAGCCTTCAGTGTCTCCAAAAAAATCTGTCAATACAAAGAAGAAAGGTAAGATCAGTTTCTCTCCATAGACCTGTAGCATCATCAGACATTTGCTGCTCTCTGTAGCAAAAACGTATTCTTTTCTTACACAGAGTCGCTGGATGACAGTGATAGCTCGGATAATGAGCCTCTGAGTGAATCTGCCAAGAAAGTCCACCCTAAACGTCAGACAAAGGCATCTGTCATGCCATCTAGAAAAGAAACCCCAGTTATGAAATCCAAAAGGAACGCAGCAAGGAAAATGGGCAAGTGTTAGACTGTGCAAATCATCTCAAATGATTTTCTCTTGCTACTCGTACCAAAAATAAATATGTTTTGTTTCTTCTAGTTAAATATGCAGAGTCTTCCAGTGACAGCTCAGACTATGAACCAGTGGCCACAATGAAGAGGAAGCAGACAAAGGCTCCTAAAGAGCAAAAGACTTCTGCAAAGAGAAAGAAAACTAAACCGAAACATGAAGGTAAGCAGCATGTTCATGATACTGTCTGGAAAGAATAATAATTAAATCAGTTTCATTACAAGTAAATCAAGTGTTAACTCTTAGACCTCTCGTTCTCAGACAGCAGCTCTGATGACGATGATGTGCCCCTGGTGAACCTTATTGCCAAGAAGAAACCTGTGAAGAAAAACACAAAAAAGGCAGCTGTATCGGAAGCCAGCGCATCAAGAAAAAAACGAGGTACTGTAGCAGCAATAATTACATGAATATAATTATATTTTATATCATGGTATATGGTTCAAATCCTTGATGCTGTGACTTTTGTTTAGCAGGACCTTCTGATGAAAGCTCCGGAGATGAACCCTTGATTAATCTCGTGAAAAAGAATCGCAAAGACAAACAAACAAAAAACAAAACGAAGGCTTCAGCTCCGAAGAAAAGGGACACAAGTCCAAAAAAGCCAATAAAGATGCATGAGTCAGGTAAAGAATCGGCCAGTCTGCGACTACTAACACCAACAGTGGAAGACTGGTTCTAGGCGCTTGATAACGTGGTCCTCAAAACCCCGCACAGGATAAAGAAATATAAGAGAAAACATAGTAGTGTAAAGAACTTCAGTCAGTTCATTTGTGTTTCATTAATATTTTTTCAGGGTCGTCAAGCAACAGTTCAGATGACGAACCCTTAATCAAGGCAGCTAAACATCCACAAGTGACCAAAATCCTGAGAATAATACTAGAGAGGTGTGATGGTGAAGAGAATGGGGGAACAGGAAGCCTGAACAAAACCAGTACAGGTACTGATTACATGACCAAGTCATTACTGATGCTGTAATTGAACATCAAAGGACTAACATTATCTTTACTCTCCAAAACAGACACACAGATTGCTGAAAAGACCTCGAGTGAGGAGTCAGAGGGCTCAGAGTAAAGTCCCCAGAAGAAGAAATAAGTAGATGAAACAAAGCTGTCACAGGTTGAAGAAGCTGCTTTTTGTTTTTACCTTTCACTTTCTGGACTGGAAGTTCTCCAAGTTTGAAGGACTTGTGTTGTAAATCCCTCGGAGAGACACCTCCTATAAATCACAGTTAGTGCTCGTGTAAGGTTCAACAGTGCGTTTTATATACAGTACATGGATTTTAATTTAATGTGTTGATATTTTTACTCCTGTTTTTAAGTTTGGGATCAAATTTTGTCGGTTCCTGAAAGATTTTATGCACAATCATAGATGTTATTTTACTATTTGTGCATATTGTTTGCATTGGTTGTCTCCGTTGGTGTTTCGTTTTTGAGGTAATAATTTAACACTCATTGCTGTAAGTTACATTCACTGCTTTCATATTAACCGCACACATGGCATGCATCAATGAAAATATGTTGTGTTGGAATAAATGATATAAAATGCCTTTGAAATTCATATCAGATGAGTCTTTTTTTTGTTTTTTTAAATATGACCCACAATTCTTATTCATCCATGTCTGACATTTTAATTCCAGTGGGGTTGTAAGTCATTTGTATTGCATATATGTTTATATTTTATATTTATTGCATATACTGTCATATACATTTACTGTGGGCAGGACTGGGTGGGGGTAAAGTTGTGCACTTTCTCCAGTTATCTCCAGATTTAATAGCTACTAAAAAAGGATTGAAACTAACAATTACCTCCTTCATTAATTATTTAGAAGTTATTATGTTTTTAATGGGGAAAATGGAGCCGAATAAGTGAGGTTTTTTAACCGTTTTTCTGCACACTCACAATGTTCAATTTATTATTAGTTTATTATAATAATAAATTAGGGCTGCAACTATTTTTTTTCTTTTTTCTTACTAATCAATCCAAATGAATCACTTCTCGATTTATCATTTGGTCTATAAGATATCAGAAAGTATTAATAAATTCCTGCCACAATTTATATATATAGTATAAGGTAACTTTCAAATGGATTGTTTAGTTTTTAAATTAAAAATATCTGTCCATCCACTAATTTAGTCGCTAATTATAATTTAAGCTATTTTTCCACTTGTACAATTAATTAATTAATTACTGTTTAAGCACTAAAAACCTTTATTCCCAATTAATTAATGTTAAAGACTATGCGTAAAAAAAAGAATGATTATTTTTAATTATTAGTTATATTATTAATAAAGAATATAACGTATTATTATTAATAATACGTTATATTAGCATAATATCCAACAAATAAATTAATATTTTGTTGAATTTGTAGTAAAGTTTGGTGTCGACTCCACCCACAACTTCCGCCGTCGGCTCTGAGCTCAGCAGCGGTGCTGTGTCCCGACCTGCACACACTCCTCTGCACAAACACCGGGACACTGCCGCTGTGTTCAAGAGACAGAGACAGAGAGAAGTTCACACAGAAAAAATAAAGGAGGGACGCTTGTATCTGAGTTCATCACCTGTTTTTAGTTTATCACCTTTAACGCCAGGTGTTGATTTCAGCTAGCTAACTTGCACGTTAGCTGGTAATGCTGCTGTCTCAAACACATCGGACGACTCTCGGATTCATCTGATCTCGTCATGAGCGAGTTAAGATGTCGCAAAACAGAGACTTTGGAGGGAGAGAAAGACCTCCAACGTGAGCCAGAGGTGCACACAACACGTAAGTCAAAGCGGATGTTATGTGAACAGCAGTTAGCTTCGTGTGCTAAGAAGTAAACAAACACATCTGGTGACTTCATTTAACTTTCCTGGTTTTCTTTATTTGGGATGCTTGTGAAAGATTGTGACACAGCCTGTGAGTTGTTAACAGTGCTGTCTGTCTGTTGTGGCACCTTTATCAGATGTTAATGGGCCGGTGAAAGCAGAGGAGGATGAGAGGAGTGAGTTCATTGGTGGAGCAGAGGACAAACAGGAGAAAGATGAGGGTGAAGTTAAAGATGCTCAGCATAAAGAGGAAGAGTCAAAGAAACCTGAGTCTCCTGTCAAGAGATCCAAGATGTCTTCTGCATGTAAGTTTGCGTCCTGTAAACTGAAATACTTTCTAAAGCGATATCAGTGTCTGCTCACTCTTCCTTCTCCCAATGCTTCAGGATCTGAATCACCTGGAAAACCTGGATATTTAGAGGCTCCATCATGGAAACACCTGGAAATGTATTTAAATGGCAAAATATCCTGGAAATAATCTATTGTAATTGTATTTTAGCTCGTGTTCTGGTTAAATTAATGTTACAGTTTAGAGGAAAACTGTAGTCTGTGACGTGAGCAACTCCTGGAAAATGTCCTGGAAAGTGATTTATTTAAAAGAGTGGGAACCGGTCAGGTCAGATCTGACTTCATCTCAAGACTCTTGTGTAGAATATCTGTATTCATCCTTCACCATTTAGGTCTTTAGCTGTCATTATAACACATGCACACAGTGAGAGTGGTGGATCTACAGAAATATTCATTAAGTAGCTTTTTACACCTACGAGGAATGTGTCCTGGTGCAATTGATGCATAAAATATACAAATATACAAATCACACAAAAAATAAAGTACTTTCAAAATATAAATAGATAAAGATAAGAAGAGAAAACTGTGCAGAAGACAGGGGTGCATTAATGTAATGCATACTGTATATACAGGGTGGGTATAAGAGTCAGTGACAAAGGGGCAAGAGGGTGGCAGAAATGTGTGTTAGTAAACAAAACTCTCTGTGCGCAGCCAGCAACAGTCAGGTGCTGGTAGGTCACAAGACTATATAGGTAACAATCACCACACACTGTCACATGTATATCAATATTTGCTTGGAAAAGCCCCAAAATGAAGATATCTTGACTCAAAAACATGACATTAATGTGGCACATCAGTGAAGCATTAAACAGACGAGTGCTAACTGCTCTTTGACTTTTAGTTTTCCACTGTGGTAGACGTTCCAGTTTTTCCATATCTCAGCATATATATCACCATCAGACGAAGGTCCTTTTGTTTACAGTGGTATCTTGTTAACCCCTAGAATCCTTCACTATATGAGCAGTTTTCTCACAGTCAGCAATAATACAGAATGCAACTATCTAAAGGGGGATTTTTATTTTTAAAGACTCAAAATGTGTCACACACTTGGTATTGTTGTTAAATGTGATATATTTACTGTTATATTTCTGCTTTTCAGCAGGTTTTTTGCAGCGCCTCGTGAGGGTGTTCCTCGGGTGTCTGGCAGCAGTTGCCTGTGGCATGCTTTATGCCATTTATCTTTCTACATATCATGACAGGAAGTTCTGGTTTTCAACTAGACAAGTGGGTGACCGTATTTTACAAGGCTGCTTCCATTATATTTCCTCTTTCCTGCCGTATCATATCTGTTCTGAAATTCACTCCTAATGTGTCTCAGGAGCTGGAGCGTGAAATCACCTTCCAAGAAGGCAGCGGGCTCTATTATTACTACTATAAGCACATGCTGACAGCACCATCTTTTGAAAGAGGTAATTTTATCCTTTCTGCTTCTCATTTAAGAAATCAATTTTAAATATGGAACTAAATACAACACCAGAACTGACTGTAACTGGAATCAGAGGGCTACCAATGTCACTCTCTCCTTAAAAATCTGCTCTGTTCTTCTGTGGTTTGTGTTTTTTTTCAGGGTTTTACGAGCTGACAATAGATAACAAGACTGTTTCAGGTCAGACCATCAACATAGTGGAACGTTTGTCTCTGTATCCAGAGCTCATCACAAGCTTCATATACAGAGTCACAAGCAGCCAGGTGAGATTTTGACACAGACAAGGTCAGTTTTGACCATGCTACAATACATTTGTGTTGTATTTTGATCAGATAGTAATATACGATGGAAGGTGCACGTGCGTTTTCCGAAGAACAACAATTCCAAACTAGTCTTAAAGCAAACACTGGCAAACAGATTGGAAATGGGTCTTACACTCGGGTGCATTTCAGCCTGAGCTTCCTCCAGAAGGGAAGAGTTTGTTGCATAGCAAAACATTAAACAATGCAACGTAGCGCATTAGTGGAGACCAGTTTCATTTGATTTGTTTTGCATAGGTTTGTATAATGACAGGCCTCTGCATTTTTAAAGATTTCTTAAGTAACTTGCTGGTTTGCATTTGTTCTTTTTAGTTGACTCAGTAGCAACAAATAGGCACAATTTTAGCAAATCTCACTGTGAAAGCCAAGATTTAACATTACAAAAGCAGAAAATAATTCATTCCTCGTGTAGTCAAAACAGTCTCATCTGCTTCCAGTGCAGTGGACTTATCGCTGTTTATAATGCAATAAATAATTCAGTACATTGCGCCAGAAAACGTGGCGAGGAGTCAAACTTTTGGATTGCATTACCCGGTAATAACAAAGTAAAGACTTCATGTTCCCACCAACACAGATTCATGAGTTATTTACAGATAGTAAGTCTTATTTACCTCATTCCTTATTCACATCACATTGGATCTCTGGCATTGACATTGTAAATAAACAACCATCTAAAGCAAAAGATTTAAATGTTTTATTCTCATATCATTTTGGCCTGTGATAAAAAACCTTAATGTTTTTCCGTCTCTGCCTTCAGGATTTCGTGGAGCCAATCTACTTCTACGTTGGAGCGGTTTTCGGCCTCCAGGCCATCTATGTCACTGCCCTGTTTGTGTGCAGCTGGGTGATGAGCGGCACATGGGTGGCTGGCATGTTGGCTGTGGCCTGGTATGTGATCAACAGGTGAGAGGAAATCTGCCACCCTGTTCCTCGTACTTTAGTGTGAGATTTCTCTTTATCTCATATCGTGTTCCTTCCTCCTGTCAGTCAGCGCAGTAAAGTTAGCTTCCTCTTGTAATCTTTACCAGATATCCTTCTTTCAATTTTCCCTCTCTGTTGGTCTAACTTTCTGATAACAAATGCTTCAACCACACTTAAAAACTTTAACTTTTAAGCTGCTGATAAGACGAATCAAAATCTCAGTGGTGAAGCATAATTATACCTTCCTGTTTTCTTTTTGTTTTATGTTGACATGTCCACTTTACAACTCTCTTGTGGGGCATTTCTTCCTCAGACCAGATACAACCAAAGTGGATCACGCTATTCCTCTGCGGGAAAACTGGGCTCTGCCTTACTTCTCTTGCCAGGTTGTAGCTCTGACAGGATTCCTGAGTAATAACATCAGCTCTGCCACTGAGGTGAGTGTCTCATGAAACTAATTTTAAAAAAAAGTCCACTACATCAAAGTTAGGTGGAACAGTGCATTTACGCACACTGATAAAACTGTGCTTCTCTGTAGATGTTTTGCTATCTCACCATGAGTGCCACCACCTTCACCTTCCTCCTGGTGTGGGAGCACAGCCACTACGTGCTCTTCATCCAAGGCCTCTGTCTTTTCTTGCTGGACTCTTTTGACCTGCTGCCACCGCGTAAGGTAACACAGTCCTTGCTTAATAAAGAAGTACAGTCTGGACCAGTTGAACCACATAACTACT